CCTTTAGAACAACCCCCTAAACCCTAAACCCTGAACCCTAAACCCTAAACCCTGAACCCTAAACCCTAAACCCTAAACCCTGAACCCTAAACCCTGAACCGTAAACCCTAAACCCTAAACCCCATCCCCGGCCTGCGGCTGAGGGTTCTGCAGGTCATCATCCACGTAAATCTGGATCTCTTGTGGAGCAGCACGTTGAAGATTTCTGCCAGTTGGGTTGTTCCCGGATATAGGGGTTATATAGGGAATATATATATATATGTATATGTATTTATATTTATATGGGTTTGTAGGGTTTTAGGGTTTCCCAAAATTAGGGTCCCATTTTGGTACCCCTAAATGTAAGGTGCCGTAATACAATTCATGACCAAAGGGGCACATATTTCTGAGGACAGCCCTCGTCATGCCAGTAGAGTCTCAAACACAATGTGCATTCACTTCGAACCATATGGTCACTGCCCTAGCCAGGCTTTAGCGCGTTGGAGCTTAGGCTTAGACAACCGGCGCGAAATCTGCAGCTCTTCAAAACAATATACTTACTGGTGGAGAGTAAAGGATAAGGGAATTCGCAGAGGGCTTATATTGGGAATATATTCCCATGTTCCCTAATCCCTAAACCCCATTGCTTTCCTTTATTCTCTACTAAAAACCCAGGAAGTAGGCAAGTCCAATGAATGTCCCCAAATAAGGCTCAGGCTTTCCGGATCCCTTGCCGCGACGTCCTGCTTTCATTCAGGAAAGCTGAAGTGGCGGCTACCCAGACCGTCCAATGTAGTCCCTTTTTGGTAGTCCTAATAAGAGTCCTAATCAAAAAACCATACCAAATCCAAAAAGGTACTACATTGGAGGGTCTAGGTAAGATTTAAGGTTCAGGGTTAAGGGCGTATCAAGGGGGCCTTAAAAATTGTTGAGGGAGTCTATTCAGCAAAGTCTTGCAAGTAAACCAGTCCAAAAATGGCTTAGGGATCGCTGAGGCAGTCTGTGACAAGAGCTGTACTATGGTATACCCAGCTATCCATTACAAGTAAATCTTAATGCCTGCATCATACCAGTTTCCATTTCATTTTCCATGTTCTGTCCATTTGATTCTCCAGTATTGGGGTAACATCCCTAAACCCCAAACCCCTAAACCCTAAACCCTAAAACCTAGGTCCTAAACCCTAAACCCCTAAAATAGTAGTTTCCATGTTCCCTCTATACAACAATACAACTGCAGACGGCTGAGGCAAAGCCAACCTCAAGCTCTTGTCATGGACCCTCCACTCATGGGAACGAACTAGGCTCATTCAGCTACTATTTACTATATAGGGGTTATGTAGGGGTTATATTGGGATAATGGAAAAGAAAGTGGAAACTACTATTTACTATATAGGGTTATATAGGGGTTATATAGGGGTTATTATATAGCAGTAGATTATCAACAACGAAGCGCAATTAGAGGCTTTAGGACAATCTATTGTAGGTTCTACTGTTAACAATTTTGTTGATCCACGCGAGTCCTTGCTTTTGCGGCAGCAGGCCCGGCTCTTCCAGCATAAAGGGGATCTCTGCATGGACTGCCTGCGCGAAACATCTCTCCTAATGTTGGCTACTCTCACCACAGCAGTACAAGGAGTTACAAAGAAACAGAAAACTATTGCTATGATGGAGAGACCCTAAACCCTAACCCCCAAACCCTAAACCCTAAACCCTAACCCACCCTAATCTGGAGAAACCGATTGCCCATGGCCTGGTTGTTCTCCTTCTTGGCCACAGCTTCAGGCTTGGGCGGTGACTTCCTCAATAGGGATGAAGGGTATAATGAGCAAAGCGTACTTGCAGGCTAGACCACCGGGACTGAGGTTCAGGTCTTAGGGCTACATATCAATATATAGGGATCTGCGGGGATATTACCCCTTTGCCGCAGCCCCCAAGTTATGCTTTGCGAATGCTGATCGAACCCATTGTCCTAAGCCGAACACCTGAAAACGATGCCGGCCCCTTTCTGAAGTTGATGAACCAGATCGATGTGGTTTCACAACATCGGTTGCAAATGGTCACATAGGTGTTGCCGGGCGTGCCTCCTCGTAATGTGGCATTTGGAACCAAACACGAGCAACCCCAGTGCTACAGCAGCATGACTGCAAGCGGTGCCAAGCTTTGGGCATGCACTTTGGTAGTTTCCCAAAATAAGGGGACCCTAATATAGACCCCAAAATACTATAATCCTGATTATGGGGACCCCAATAGGGTACTCCTAATTTTTGGGGAAACCCCCATTTCTACGGGGCAAAGAAACCATCTCACTCAGCTGAGCCCCCTGGCCATGAAGAGGAAAAGAGCAACATCCTGAGCTAAAAGGACAGGCTGATGATTTTCATGCGGAGCTATATTGGGGTTACATTGGGATAATGGAACAGAAAATGGAAACTACTATATTATATTGGGGTTATATTGGGATAATGGAAAATAAAATGGAAACTTACTTAAATATTGTTCATACACCACGTATGGGGCCAAGGGCAGTTTGCAGGAGTCCCAGTCTCAAAACTGTACACCTCTACTCCTGCTGACAGACGTTGATGAAGCCGGAGCAATGCAAAGGAGGCCCCTAAACCCTAAACTCTATTCCGCGGTTGTCCAAAAGCTTGGAGCACGCACAATTGACACCAGAACCCATTGTGTAATCGTCAAGGGTTTAGGTACATACTCATTAACAGGGGGGTTATAGTGTTTGGGGTCTAGGGTTTAGGATTTATAGGGCTCAGGGTTTTGGGGCTAAACTTCTTACAGGGGTTATATAGGGGATGACATGGGGGAGTAGTATTATAGAATTTGTATGGAGATGCTAGGTGTTTAGACCATGGCTCATATAACTCCTATAAACATCCCCTATTATACTACAGTAGTTTCCATCTTTTTTTCCATTTAACCCCTAACCACTAAACCCCTGAACCCCCCCCCCCAACCCCTAAACCCCTAAATCCTAAACCCCCAAACCCTAACAGCTCAACCCTAAACCCCTAAATCCTAAACCCCTGAATCCTAAACCCCTAAACCCTAAACCCCTAACCCTAATCCCTCCCTGTTGAATTCATAGGGGCTATTCCCAAAACTATGGGCCCCTTTTGGTTACATATCATATTACGGCGCCTAATGTTTAGGGGTACTAAAATGGGACCCCGACTTTGGGAACTACTCTAAAACCCTAGAAACCCCTAAATTAAATCCCCGTTTCCATTTCATTTTCCATCTTCCTTTCCA